TAACATACTAGAGCATGTTTAGGAACAAATATGACAATGTTTAGTAGATGGCATTTTACATGAATAAAGACAATTATCAAACACTCCAGTAACCTTTTTTTGTTACTTTTAAATTAGTTACTTTACTAGAAAAACTTCTCTTTACTTGAATACTTTTTCCTTATTATGTTTGTGGCTTTACAAACTTGCAACTAGATAATGAACAATTACAAAACTTAGCATTGGTGAAAATTGAGGATTTATTGCAATCTAATAGGAAAAGTCTAAAAGATTATCCATCAATACCATATGCATCAAGGACTATAACATGCCAATTGGGAAATAAATTGATCTATGCAGAGCACCAATACAATATAGATCAATTGAACTCTAATTTTCCAACTTTGTTTGCTTCTCTAACAGGTAATGTAATCAAATGGAACTATCGATGTTTATTTATTTATTTTTGTTACATTGAGTTGATAGATATTTTATTTATGTATTCATTGATGTAGATGAGCGAAACAAGATATTTGAAACAATAATGAAGGTTGTTTATTATCAATGTAGTAAAATCTTTTTTCTATATAGTTATGGGGGAGACGAAAACTTTCATGTGGAAAATATTAGCATTTGCATTGCGTTCAAAGGGCCATATTGTTTTGACCTTTGGGATCAAGTGGGATAGATTCTTTATTATTGGCAGGAGGACGAACTACACACTTAAAATTTGCAATTCTTGTTTCTACCTTTGCAAAAATCAACTTGTAATATTCATCAAGATAGTAAACTCGCAGAGTTATTAAAAACTACACAACTATTAATTTTGGATGAAGTTCCAATGGAACATAAGTTTTGTTTTGAGGAATTAGATTAAAGTCTTAGAGACATCATGAGCTTCTCCAATAATGGAGATTCTCCATTTAGGCAAAAGTCATTATTTTTGGTGGAGACTTTAGGCAAATTCTTCTAGTTATTCTAAACGAAAGTCAATATGACTTTATCAATGCTACAATAAATGCTTCCTATCTCTAGGAATATTGTTAAGTTTTGACACTCACACTAGTACACAATAAGCATTTTACGTCGGTTATTTAGGGGTTTTTACTTTAGAAAAAATTTCGACGTAGAAGCGGGAGACGTAAATTTACGTCGGGGCGCAAAAATCGACGTAAATTTACGTCGGACATGCTAAGGTCCGACGTAAAAAGTCATACAAAATTAAAAAAAAGTGAAAACAAGTGCAGCAGAACGGCCCGTTCTGCTTGGAGAACGGCCCGTTCTGCTTGATAATCCCAGAAGTGCGTTCTGCGAAATTGGACTTCATCACTTCCTTCTCCTTCTACAGCTTCAAAAACTCGAACCTCCCAGAAAAAAACATCACAATAACTTATACCCACAAAATATGCGTATTATAACGAAAAAAACATCACAAAAAACACAAACTTGATGGAAGATGCTACCTCATAGAACGCCATGAAGGAGAAGGTGCAGGAGAAGCCCATGACCACGCGAAGAAGAAACAGAAGAAGGTGCAGATGAACGCCATGAAGGAGGAGGCGCGGGAGAAGGAAGAAAAACAGAAGAGGGAGGAGGAGGCGTGGGAGAAGGAACAACCATGAACATTTTGAAATTTAACTAGTGCGCCTCACCTTTTAACAGCTTATGGGGGTTATTTACGTCGGCCCTAATTGGGTCCGACGTAAATAATTCAACAAAATTACGCTACATGCCACCGCACTTTTATAACGTCGGGTTTTCGTGTTTCCGACGTAAATTAGGTGACGTAAAAGCCTATTTTTGCACTAGTGTCACAAAAAAAATGCACTTGCTAAGTCATGCTAATTACACAAGTGTTGAAATATTTAGACAATTTTCTAAATAACTATTACGGGTGGATGATGGGAAAATTAATTGAGCCAAATGATGGTTATGCAAAAATAGAGATTCCTTATGAATTTCTAATCACTAATTTTAATGATCTGATAGATGTAATTGTTCAAAGCACATATCCAAATTTAGTCCAACAATACAAGAATGAAGACATTTTTCAATCTAGAGCTATCTTGGCACAAAATATTGAGATTTTTGACCAAATCAATGATTATGTTCTTTCATTGATTCTTGGGGATGAAAAGGATGAAAAGGAGTATCTTAAATTATATTTTGTTGACATGTTAGATACAATTGAAAGCTCACCACTTGAAGCAATGACTCTAAAAATCATAAACACATTAAAGACATCAGGACTTCCTAAACATAGAATCAAATTAAAGAGTGAGACAACAATAATGTTGTTGAAGAATCTATATCAATTAGAAGCTTTGTGTAATAGAACTAGATTGATAGTCACAAGACTTGCAAATCATGTCATTGAAGTAAAGATAATATCTTGAAAAAATATTGGGAATTTAATCTATATTCCTAGAATGTCTTTATCTCCTTCTTAATCACCATGACCTTTCAAACTTGTAAGAAGGCAATTTCCTCTTATTATTTCATATGCTATGACCATCAACAAATCTCAAGGTCAATCATTGCAAAATATTGGACTATATTTTCCTAGGCCTGTGTTTAGGCATAAACAATTATATGTGGCATTTTCAAGAGATACATGACAAAGAAGGAAAACCCTTAAATACAACCACCAATGTTGTCTTTAAGGAGGTTTTCCAAAACATATGGTAAGTTTATAAAAAAAATTATCAAAGTTATAATTTATGTTTTTGAATTTAATCTTAACAATATTCCTCTCCAATGCAGTTGAGTCATATCAACACCTTTTTTTTGCATCTTTTGAAGAAAAGAAACACTTTCTAGTCATTCAACACCTTTTTTCTTCTACATAGAATTAGTAAGTCAAAGGTGTTCGATTACATATTATTAGCCTCATTTATATGCATAATTTTGATACATATACCATATTATTTTATTACTCTAATTAATTTGTTTCCAAACAATCACATTGAAATATTATCTATTCGTGCACTTAACTAACAACTTAATAGATTATCATTTTATCTACCAATACTTAAACAGTTGCATGACAAGTAGAACATGAAAATAATGTATCCTACACAAACTTAACAAGTTCATTATCGACATCAACTATGAAATAACATAGGTTGTACCTTTATATTTCATACATCGATAAAATTGTTATGATTCTATTAACTTTTTCTTATTCATCTTTTTCTACAACAAAAGAAGTTTGCTTAGTGCATATAATTTAAATAATGGGATGTCAATGTATCGTTTTTAATTCTTTTTTCTCAATTAGATGTGCGTAGTCTCATGAATTTTGCACACAATTATTAATTGATAATACGTATTTAAAGGATGTTGACAAATATTTCATATATTTTCATGATTAAATATTTTGGCTATTCTTTGTTAACAATTTAAAGTCTTCAAGTTTACAAACATGTAAAACTAAAGCATTGACACCCACAAATGTAGAGGAACTTGACATATCAAATTGTTTCTTATCGATGTGTTATTTTTGTGACTTATTTATCAAACTCAGATTACTAGAATTTATATTTTACTCTAATTATTATAAATGATTTTTTAGTCCTCACTTTTACATATAATATATTAAAAGAATAATATATATATATATATATATATATTTTTTTGTATTATTTATAATCATTAAATTAAACATGTATTATTATATAAGCAAATATCTCACGTGTGCAAAGACAAATATCAGTATTCTAAAAACATAGGCACATGTTGAGGGGGACCTTATCATTTAATATATATTTTGGAATTAAAAAACTTATTTTTATTTAGATTATAGTTTTATAAATAATTCTAGTTAACCGATTATTTTTGTATGATCTCATTCCAAGGATAATGATATTATTATTTTTAGACAAATAATTTATATTGTTCTATTACATTTTTCTGTATGAATAAAATATTTGAGTATTATTTAATTTATCTTTTTTTAAGAAGGTATTTTCTTTTATAATTCAACATTACTAATTTAAAAGCTACATAAATGATTGTATTATATTAGTTTTCTATTTATATGGATTTGATTATAATTGATTTTAAAAGGCTACAATGATGAGGGTTAGATAGTAAATTCTTACAAATAAAAATTTGATTTAAAATTAATAATAATTTATTAATATTTATCAATTAAGAAAGTTTATAAAAAATTATATAAAAGATTACACGGTTACATCATCATTTAAAAATAAAGAAAACACGAATTTAGCCGGCAAACCCACCATATACAAAATTTAGTTTATATATTTCTCTCCCAAAAACATTATAGTATTATTTTATTTAAAATAACATTAATATTCGATAATATTTTTATGTACATTCGAGTCGTGTATGGTTTGTTTTTGTGAATATCATTGTTAAAAAAATATCTTACAAATCAATATGACAAATCCAACAATTCCAAAAAAAAATAATCTAGTCAACTAGAAAGTCATACATATAGAGAAGAGAGTTTAAATGACACTGATACAACTTTTACCAAGTATTATACCGTTTAATAATTTTATATTAAATGTGAATTTTGTAAATTCAACTATTGAATTATAATTTCATATCACTTTATATGTTTATATCAAATTAAACAATAATTCAAAGATAATCAAAGTATTCATATTTTATTATATTTTGAAATGTATATATTACGTTATTTTTTTTATTTATAAAAATGAAGTATCAAATCATCTTGAATTAATATAAAATTTTGTATATATGATTTAAAAGTAATTTTTTTTTAATTTAACGGTTAGATTTATAAAATTTATATTTAATATAAAATTATTGAACGATCTAATATTTAATAAAAATTACCATTTGAACCTTCCTCATATATATATATATTTTTTTGTAAAGATAAGAAAGATTACAAAGATGATTGCAATGAAGATTAAACCTAAGTCCTCATGCTTCTAAGTTCTAACTACCTAAACACCTCCTCATCTAACCAGTGGCCTAATTTGGTTTATTTATTTATTTATTTGAAGAGTGGAAGAAAGAATTTGTATTTTCTTGGTTGCCGCGAGCTTCCACGACCACCACACAAAAAACTGAAAGCAAATATGGCTAAGCCATCTGAGAAACCTTTCCTTGTTGCCAGTCATCATCTATGGCTCTTCTTCCTTCTTCTCTGAAAACTCTTCTCCATATCTCATCTCAACGTTATCTTCCTTCCTTTCACAACCCCATCACTCTCACATCATCTTTCAATCCACTCACACATTCAAAGCTGAACCACAGAAGTTTCAACTCCAAGCTCTTGGCTATTTCTTATAGGTATTTCATTGAAGAAGAAGAAGAAGATGATGACGATGATGATGAAAACTACAACTTTGATGAAGCAGTGGCTCTCTTCAATGGAGGAGAGTACTACAAATGTCATGACTATCTTGAAGCCCTTTGGAATAATGCTGAAGAGCCAACCAGAACACTTATACATGGAATACTGCAATGTGCAGTGGGCTTTCACCACCTCTTCAACCAGGTTTTTATACATTTATTACTTCCATTCAGATTATTGCTAATTTTCTCATTTTATATATTATTTTTGCACATTTACACATTAAAAATATATATCTTCATTATTTTTACATGTGCACCATACATTAAAAATTAGAGATGTGCTAAAAATTAAAAAAAAAAAAAAACGAACCAAATTAAACTAATATAAAACTAAACCAAATTAGATTATATAAACATAAGTTTTTCTTTTAAAAAAGAAATTGAATTGAATCACCTTGTAAAACACTTATATTAACTAACCCTAAGCGTGTGGTTCAGCGGTTGAGGTTGATCCACGTTTAAGGGTTCGAATCCTGCCTTGTGTATACAGTCGCGTTAAATCTTGAGACTAGTTATCCCACTCTTTGAGGTGCCTCCAAAGTAACGAGGAGATTAATCACTAGATACTCCGGGAACGAACCCAAAAAAACACTTATATTAACCGCATTATTTTTAGAAAGTGGTTTGGTTTATCTCGATTTAATTTAAAAAAAAAATGCAACTATCTACGAATATAAATTAAATAATTGAACCGTATTAAACTGATTTATTTAAAATAATTGAATTATTTTTATAAAAGTTGAACTGACCCACTATATAAAAAAATCGTTTAGCTAATCAACCATTTTTATAAAATGGTTTCGTTTCAATTACATTTTATAAAAATTCAACCTGTGAACAACCTTACATAAAATAGTCTCGGAAATAATTGATGATCTTGAATAACTGCTTATAATTGCAAATTTGACTACAACGTCAAGAGATTTAGGGTGTATGAGATTGAAACATGATTGCAATTGTGACTCCATCAGTCACATTTGTTTGCAATTCTACATGAAGAAACGCGACTAAACTAGAGCCATAATTTAAAACCTTGAAAACAACAAAAATGAAGTACAATAGATTTATGTCTAATTTTTCAATCAAAAGATACAAGGAGAATCAACATTATTAATTAACATCAAGGGAGTGGGTATAATTATTCTTTTTATTTATTTATGATTTGGTTTTGCTTGATCTTGATTTATTGTCTTATAAAACATGTTCATGGGCTGAATAGAACCATAGAGGTGCCATGATGGAGTTGGGGGAAGGACTATGTAAACTGAGAAAGATGGAATTCTCAAATGGACCATTTCATAAGTTTGAGAAAGACATATCAGCTGTTTTGGATTTTATCTACCAAACTCAGATAGAGTTAGCTGCATGTGAGTGCTTAATTCTAACCTTGAAATGATGCAGTTAATTAGTTTGGTTTGAAGAAGTGATTACAGAATTTGTGTTACCCCTTGAATTAATTTGAGCAGGTAGTGAGGATATTTGTGTTGCAATGGATCGATCAGAAAGATCTTACCAACTTCTAGGGGAATATGCTTCAGGACAGCGAGTGTATGATCTAGAACTTTGCAGTGATGCATCAGTGTACATTGTGTTCTGCCCTAAAGGGTCTAATGGTGCCACTCAAGCCCCAAGGGTAAAGCTTCCCACACTTAAGGCTACCACGGAACATCTTGTGGCCTGTGAATAAAAGTGAACACCTTTGCAAGACCAATGTTATAATGTTATATAGATCAAATTAAACACATGGAAAATTAAACTCTTGTGCAATGATCAAAGAATAGAATCCTAAAGTAAAAGCAGTAACAATATGCCAAATATTATGTTTTGCAAAGATTTCAAAAAGGATCTTTGTCAAGAGTAGAGTTGTAAAAATTTGTCTGATTCGGGTTGATGGAAGTCTTTATATTTTAGCTAAAAAATGATCAGATTAATTTGGTCTAGATGGGTTAATCAAACCAAATCAGCAAATTTAGGTTAGAAAAGTACTTGGCCTATTTGATTCAATATCTTTTTTTCTTTTAAATTATATGTAAAATTATTAAAACAAATAAAATGATCTACTTTCATCAAACAGGCCAATAGATTAACTCGAATTTTTAAAAAAATATGATCCGTGTAAAAATGAGATCGACTTATGGTGTGTTTAGAAATCTATATGTAACCCCTAAAATGTAAAATTTCACATTCCAAAGTAACGTATAAAAAAGGTGAGAAATGGATTAACGTTTCATTCAACTGAACGAAATTTCAAATACACAATAAACTCGTCCATTTGATAGCTCCATCTATTTAAGAAGAGTGAAGGTACTCCACATCCATATTCGAATATTTATCGATATATATAATCCGAAATGGAATGAAGAAAAGGAATTTATAAACTTTATTTTTAGGTGGATTTCTGATCACTTTGCTTAATATTTAGCATGCCCTATCTCATCACAGTTAGTTTTCAAAATTTTACTTCATTTTAAAAATAATGCAATAAGCATAATATTTATGTAATATTAAATTCAATTTATTATGAGTATTTTCATCTTAAAAGAAAATTGAGTCAAACATCATTTTCCAAAATCTCTAAAATTTAGAGTTTCTTTTTAAGAAGTAAATAACAAAAAAAAAGAAAAATATTTTTATAAGCTAGTTTTAAAAATCTTGTGATTCCCCTAACAAATTCTAAGTCACTAATACCCTATATTAAATAGGTTTTAACTTGAGAAAAAAAGATAACAACCAACTTAGAAACTTATTAAATAGCAACTCATATACTTATTAACTCAAGGAAAAAGACAACTCAAATTTTAACTCAGTATAACGGATGAATCACTAACCATTTATAAAATTAAATGAATAGATTGAATATAATTTTTTATTTATTGTAATGGATGGATTGAATGTATTTACATGATCGGATGAAGGATGAATAAATATATTTATTTGCTACCCCTAGTGTCAAGCAAGTAAGAGTCATGTAAACATGCTTTTTTTAAATAATTATTAACAAATAAAAAATTTTATCATACATAACAATTAACAATTTATGATTGAGTAACAATATAAAAAAAAAATTTACACTATCAATTTGTGTGTACTATTTATTCAAAATGTTATAAAATTACCAACAAACTTTATCCAATTTAATTTCAATGATTTAAACTTTCAGCATCTTTTAAGATAAAAATTAAAATAAAAAACTAGAAAAACGTTTCCTTATAATAGCTGAATATTAAAGAGAAGCTACTTCTATAGACTTACAAATAAAATTTATGCTTGAAAGGATGATGAATAATGACTAATACATATCACTTGGTAGAATTTATTAGGTGATTCTGAATCACATGATTCTTAATTAGTCTTTACATAACATAACATTAATTAAGTATAACTATTATTTTCTTATAAGTTAAAAAACTTATGTATCATATACTAGTTGATTGAGAACAAAAGCACTTTTAAACTATCTAATAATTTTTCGCCACTTTGACTACAACTGTAATTGACTGTGAGATTGAGAGTTATGACTCGACCAGAACATAATCGTGAGTACTCCAGAAGATGCCTGATTGACCATGAATACAATAGTGACTATAAAAATAAGCTCAACATTCGCCATATGCAAGTAAAAGAGCTTTTAGATATAGGAGCAAACTTCATAAACAAAACATTTATCATAATTTCCACTAGTTATCTATTGATTTAAATTAAAAAAACGCAAAGTTCTGATTGAAGAATGATAGGTATCTCGAAGTGTGTGTATGCAAAATGTTTTAATCAATGGCCTTAAACTGCAAATGAACGGGTTCTATAAATATCTGGCCCAAATCAAACAAACAGAATCACTTCCTTTTTCTTTTCTGGTCATTAGGCTAGTGATTGTAACACTTAATCAGCTGTCACCATTCACCAATTCAGCTTCATCATGTTCACATTTCTAGGTCAACTCGTTGGAGATTGCAAAACTGCAATGAACATCCATATCAGCTTTATGAAAAAATCCAACTCTGATTTGAAGCTGGAAATTAAAACCAAACATTTATGGTCATCTGAAATTAAAATTAACAATGGAAGACAACATTATTAAGCAGAGTATGACTGCACAATTGGCATAAATGGACTGCAATGTGCGATTGAAGTCTGTTACATGTGCATGGAACATTTGGGTTTAATGATGTGTTTCCAACCAAACTCTATCCAGAATTACAGATACTCACTTATCCCTTAAGAGATATTGTAATTACACTTTTTTCTTTTATTTCCAAAAGCTACACTCTTCCCCTGACCCTGAGATATAAGATGTGCTACATTTTGATGTAAATAAACCTGTAAGGTGGTGAGAAACTATGAAGAAGATTCCCATGAGAATTTTTGTCCTCTCTTTGAAATGAGTGTCATAGGCAGTTAATTTTGTATACCCTATTATTTATTGGACTTTATAATATGAAATAAAGTTTTAAACACCCCTACAATTGTTTAATCCCAAAATTTTCGTTTATATAGTTACTTTTTGGTTTATTATCTTTTAAGTTTTTAACTTTTTCTTTAGAAATACATAAAGGAATTATATATACAGATTAAACAGTGATCCAAGCTTGAAATTATCGAAGCTAGGTTGGGATTGATTCCTGATCATCATAAATCATTCATGGGCATTTTGTCCAGACTGTGTAAATTCATGCTGTCAACTGTCATGCCTGAGATGAAGACAAACAGAACATTTTCTGATTTATGACTTCATCCTTGATGGATTTTCTTTTTCATTTCTGAAATTTGTCTACTATAGTTTTTTTATTGCTAAAACACAATCAAACTTATTTCATTGCATGCCTACCTCCCAAATCATACAGCACACTTCCAATGACTCTTCTTCACAATCTAAGCTCCAGAGAAATACAACTTTGTTCTAGTTGTAAACTATCCTTAAAACTTCCGTGTTTCAAGCTGTATCAACTTTTTCCAATTGAGATGCGTCTTTTTCTTGTTTTCTAGTTAACAATATTAATGTCAGACTACCTTAAATATTTAAAACTATTAGCACCTTCTCTTTTTCATTTTATTTGAAACATTATTTGGCAACCAACCTGCTTCTATCCCGGTCCACTTTCAAAATTAAGTGACGATTGAAGAGATATTAGAAATCCAAATACACAGTATGCACAAACACATTAAATGACACACATATATGCTTGCTTATGCACACACATAGAGTGAGAGTGAGACCTGAAAATCCTTGTTTCATCCTCAATATGGGACAGTTGATGTTTATAATTACTCTACAGGACTTGGGATGTCCAATAGTGAAAATATATAAACTGCATTAAAATCTAAAGCAGATATTAAGGTAGACAAACTTCTTCTGCATGAAAAATATGTGTACATGGCTCAATAGGAATCTCATGAATACATATGAATGGTCTTCCATTTTACCTAATATAAAAAATATATATTAGTATGTATGTAATAAGTATTTATTTTTCCAATTTAAAATGGTCCATAACTTTTGTGTGCTTAGATTGCTTCCTTAGCATCCATAACCTGTACTCCTACTGACACAATTAAAAGATATAATTGGTTTGCACTGCAATGTATAAGTGATTAACTCTATATATTATATATATATATATATGAGGAAGGATTCGTTTACTCTAGGAGTAAATCTATCTAGACTTACTCCATTTAATAACTCATGTTCTATATCAAAATTCAACGATCCAACCGTTAAATTTAAAGTTCTTAATGCATAGATCAAATCTGCAAATTTTTAAAAAATTTGAAAATCATTTGATACTTCGTTTCATTAATTCAAATCAATGTATAAAATGATTTTATAATTATCCGTCAATTTGAATTAATGAAATGAAGTATCAAATAGTTTTCAAATTTTTAAAAAATTTGTAGATTTGATCTATGCATTAAGGACTTTAAATTCAACGGTTGGATCATTGAATTTTGATATAGAACATAAGTTATTGAACAGAATAAGTCTACGTAGACTTATTCCTAGAGTAAACGGATCTCTCCTCTCTTTCTCTCTCTCTCTCTATATATATATATATATTCACACACACATCTATCTTTTGAAGTTAATAAGCTAAAATCTGAAGTTATCTTTGTTTATCCTACAAATATATAACTCTCACCACCTAGAATCCATTTATTTCAAGCAAAAATAATTTGGTAAAATATATAAAAAAGGATACAAAAAAATCAAGAAGGACACACCCTCCAGCATCTACTAGCCAAGGAAAATTTGGTCCTATTTTTGACCAGTCCATGCTGATCACAAGTATACTGCATAAAAACACAAGCTAAATGTTCATGAATATATTGTGATAATTTCATATCCTCACTATATTCAGTTGGCAAAAGCCACCTTCGTACTGAGACTTAAAATAGAGAAGATAATGTAAATCAGCAGCATACCTTGCTACATAAGTGGCATTCCCAATTAAAGCAAACAGGAACATCAAAGGATTGAGTCCCTACAAATCGTAAAAACAACTTTAAACTCCACCCTGTGGATAATTGACACTGTTTCATGCAACTACAAACACATTTTTTACTGCTCTCATAAAAGTGATATGGTGAAGGGAAGAGACTTATCTTCCATACTCCTATCCCGAAAAATTTAGTTGCTAAATGATAAACAAGACAAAATGCATAAAGGATTACAGCTTTAATAGTTAGAGACCCTAACCTCAAAATGACCTCTTCTGATCTGCAAAATTGATGAGAATAATCTATCAATATAAACAATCATCTTAACAAGGTGAATCAATCCATATTAAAGTGTATGATCTAAAAGAAATCAATAATTTTTAAATTTCCAAATATATTATAGAACAGTTTCCCATGGAAAATACCAGAATAACCATTTTATCGTGTCCCTGCCTTATATTCATATGTGGATTATTCTTTATTCTTTCTTCTTCCATTATTCTCTACAACATACTTTTCCTAGTTTATCATCCATAAGCAGCCTATACCAGTGATATGATGAATGACCGCATTCCCTTAACAGTTAAGCAATAAAAAATCTTTTCTCATGTAACAGAATTTTTATCTGTTGAATTCCAAGTTTCCAACCTAAGGTACAGTAATATAATTATATAACTCACATTTAAACAAATTTGAGGCAGTCTTCCGCCCAAATATATAAATGTCATCATCCAACCAAAGAATGTCCCAATGCCACTGCTTCCAGAAACATCAGATTTTGGCAACAGATCATCACTAACCTGTAATTGCTGTAAGAATTGATGACAAACGGGGAAAAGTAAATATCATCTTATTGTTTTTCCTTTTAACATAAATAAAAAATTAAAATCAATAATACCTTGAACACTACCTAAAATGAATCTTTAGTCATCCAAATATTGTTACTCTCCCTCACCTATAGGCAACTAATATGACAAAATAACCAAACATTGGCTAGCAATAACCAAAAAGTTTCAGATCATGAACAACACAAATTAAATGTTACTTGATGTAAAGGTTATGAGAAGTGCTAGCATCAAATTCTACCATTTATTTAAATTTGTTTGGAAACTACAAATTCACAAGTGAGGCTCATTAATTAAGAAGTGAGACTTACCAAAATTTATGATTTTCAATAAAAATTTCAAGTAATTGTGGAGAATGTGTTCAAAAAAAGTGTGCTGAGAGCATTTTTCTTGGATTATTCCTATTCTCATAGGATACCCTAACTATATTATAAACAATCAGGCGGATATCCAAACAGGAGTGATCAAACATTAATATAGTTAACAAAGTTGTGATTTGCATTACCTGAAAAAGCTTTCGTCCGACATAAATCACAAATTGTTGTCTTGGGTTTGAGACCATAGGATTAACTCTTTTATCAAGCGGTTGAAGTAGATTGATAGCACCCAGAAAAGTTAATGTTGAAACCTGAACAAAGACTGGACGCATTTACATTTCAATGATAGACACTCTCACAATTATGTACATGACAAGTAGTAGAATTAGAATGTTTACAAAACAAAGAGTATTCTTGATCTTTAAAGATGGTGCAGATTTTGTTGCAATGGCTGAACCAAGTAAATTCTCTTGTATAGAATCTAAAGTAGCAGTAGATGACATTCTCTGCGCTAAGATGGATCCCGCTGTTGGAGTTTGACTCTTAGACAAATATCTTGCTGACCTAATGAAGTGAAAATAAAAAGAGTATACTAAATTACAAATTAGAAACTTCCGTGCTTGAGAAAGAAAAGCCAACTAGAACTCTCTGAACAAAATTGTGCTTATTCTCACAGAAAGAAATCATGCATATACAGCAACTCATGAGACAAATAATAGTGAATCTTCAGCATTTTGTTGAGGAAAAATTTTAAAAGGAGAGACAATAAAGGCATTCAATCACGAGAAATTTGGGGTTCATGGTAGTTAATAACATGTTGGAACTAGACATTTGAACTTTAACTATTCGATTAAATGTTATAAGCTTTTCAATCATATACAGCCCAAGACTAAGAGAATCAGATATATTTTTTTAAACCGAACACATCAGGAGATTGAGGTTGGTAGAGAAACTAGAGCACAAGTCTGCATTTTGAATAGATATTTAGAAGAAAGATTAATTACTGATAGAATAGTTCTCTTCCAGTAGAAATTCTTCGAGGACGCGCTGGAAGAGGAATGGGAGAACTCGGATTGGTGCCTCTATATGAATTGTCAAATTCAATAGTCTGTTCAGCATCACTGGCTTTATCCACTTGTCCAGCTTTTGTGAATGTCTCAACCTGTTCGTGTTAGAAACAAAGAATACAAATCAAAATAATAAAGTAAACTTGGCAAGAGTTTCTCGTAAATTTGTCTAGAGTTTCTCACAAACTTTTAGAAAAACAAATAAAAACAGTGTTTTGTATGTTTTCCCTACCACCTAATATGAGCATATAGTCCTGAGAGATTAATAAATGCATGCAAATGCAAAACTGTCTTAACAAGTATATTAAACCATCTTTCTAATAAAATTCAATGTTAACATAATAAGAAGAAAATAATAAAACTTTTATTTTGTGATCCACATGATCTGGATTATCTGCAGTGTACACCATACACACTGGAAACAGAATTTTCCAAGCTTCTATCATTTGAGGGTTAGCTTTATTTCATATAACAAAAAAAAAACATTTATATAATTATTTAGCTGTTTGTTCTCTACATACATTCACATTCCTCAAGAACTCAAAACTCTAGTTAAATGAAGGGGTAGATATACTGTGTCCTATGTTGAAAAAGCCATGATTATCGGAAGATATGAAGTGTAGGGACTTGCACCTTGAGCTGTTTCTTGTATTTTAGTTGAGGATATATGTATCCATAGTATATGGCTTGTGAACCAAGTGCAAGAGTTATAATGGTATAGAGCTGCATTTTAATATATCATAAAAAATGTCACATAAACAAGCTGAGGCTGGGAAGGTCGTATGAATGAATGACTTCATAGGTACTAAAACCCCCTCAGTCTTCAGGCAGAGTCCTCACCACTGCCATATATAATTGAGTAGGAAGCTGCACAAATAAGAAATAAAGGAATCACTTAGTATACCCTTACTAATTTAAGCATCGACAATTATGTATGGCCATTTTATCCACAAGAAGTTCAACACAGAAATCATCCAGAAAATGAGAAAATAAATGCTCAAGATGCTCTCAACAAAAGGAGAAATTCTTAATGTACACTAGGAGCACTACACACTGTCCTCTAAAACCATAAAATGTGGATACCCATACAATACAATACCATTGGCTTGAATTTAAAATATCATATAATAAAATTTAAATCAAATCTGGACTGTTGAAAGTATCAGTCTCAGAGAACATAGTTTTCCCAACTGAAGCCTTCTGAGACAACAAAATGGAAACAGTCCTTTTCTACAAACTAATTATTTGAGAGCAAAATGAGTTAATTGGCCACTGCCTTGTCCAACCAGTATTTTTCCTTTTATTATATTTTATTTTTTTATTGACAAAAATATCGTGAATGTTGATAATGGGAGAAAGTAATAGCAAACTTTAAAGATTGCTCCAATAGGACATACAACATAAATATTTAAAACACAAAAGAAGAGAGACTCTCACAGTTGCAGGTTCCAGCAGGCATCCAAAGAGGTTGAATAGATCTCTGTAGTATAAAATAAGTTGTATCAAAATAGTGGACGAACAAAAATTTCAAGTATATTTAACGCCATCACAAAAAAAGGGCACTGAGAAAAGGAATACATGAATTAATAATGCTAGGAAGCAAGGATAAACACATGCACATGGATCTCACTCATGTGGTTGTACACGTGTACCTGGGTTCCACAGGCTTGGCGGACTCATTTTCCTACTTAGAACTATTAAAAGTTTGTCATGGATCACCCCTCAAAATAAATAGAAGTTTAAATTGAGGTTATGTGAATCACCATATTTAGTGCATGTTTGGTTCTACATCCATGCTCCAGGTTTAAGTAAGAATCACATCAAAATTGATGTAAAAGCAACTAAATTTTGCTTCCATTGATCCACATCCAACTAAAATTGAAGTGAATCCAAACATGCTCTTAATGATGTTTTCTTCCCTTGCCCATTCAATGAAACCTCTTGATTTTTCTAATGAACAACGGCATGCACTCAAACTAATCTAGAACCTGCAACCTCACCTTCCTACTTTTTACTTTTTACTTCTTAGGGTCAAGTAAGCTTATCGTTGAAAATGATACTAACTATTACAGAGACGAGCTTATGTGAAAAGTTGTATAAAAAGTTAAAAATTCATCCTGAAATTCTTGCTTCAATTTTAAGGGGATAAACAGATTCTTAGATTATAATCTTCTCTTCAATCCATATTCATAAAATGAATTCACACATGGAATAAATAAGCTAGTTGCACTAATCACATTTATCAATCTAGTAATGAAATCTCAGATCACAGACTCAACTCAAGGTTGAACAAATTATACCAAGTAGTCAAGTATCAAAAGATGACAGAAATTCAAATAGACCAGCAGAACAAACAAACAAGAATATAAATAGATTGTGAAAATCCAAGTTACCCAATCATCCATGTGACCAAGAAAGTAACAGAGAGACCCTCAGTAGACTTTGTTCTATAGTTTGTGATTATTTGAGGAATCTCAGCAACAACCCAAACAACGACACTGATTGAACCCAACACGAAAGAAGCTGTCTCTCTCACACTGCTCATATGCTGTTTAGCCAAATGCAAGCAATGGTGATTGCTCTGACACCACAGAAAGAGAGTGGAGTTGTCAAACACTCCCATTGCATCAAAGAAACTCATACCTACAATCCTGAAATGAAGCATCAGAGAATCAATAACAGTCTAACATAGTCTCTCTCCACAACAACACACTCTAGAACCGAAAAATGATCAAAGATTCAGAATGTTGCAGAAGAAGCCTAGTTTGTATGCAATAAAATATGGTATTACACCATGTCCACAAACACAATAAAAATTAAAAAAAAAAAAAAAAAGGAATATTGGGTTTTGTTTATGAAGTTGAAATCTATCCATGGACATGTTTTAACATGATGAATTGCTTTGGTGTTAGGTTATGATAGGATGAACCTTTGGGGTGAATCAAAGAATAAGAAATGAATATTCAGAATGCAGCAATAGCGAGTACAGGATATAATAATAACAAAATAAATAATACCAATCAATACCAATTCACGTTCATTAAAGGGAAACGAACAAAGACCAATCATGTTACTTTTGGTGTGGGAAAGTTAAAGGAAGAGAGAGAGATTCATTGAAAAAATGGTGTGAACAACATACAAACAAAAAATGAATACCACAAAAGGAAAACGTGAGATGTCGAGCTAATTCTCCAGCTCAAACAGTTACATGCATTTAGAACAGGAATAGTTCGGTAATTTAACCATGATAATATTTACAAAATAAATAATAAATTACCCTGTTTTATTTTTTTATATTTTATGTTGTTGAAGGACATGCACATGTGGTGTAAATGGGTTAGATTAGGTTAAGTTTTGATAAATCACAAGTTGGGTTGAATTAGATTTTAATAATTTTTAAAAAAAACTCAATCTAACCCAACCTAATCACGGGTTGGATTAGATTAGATTGGGTTAATCAAGTTAATATAATTATATTTATTTATTTTTTTTATAAAAATTTAAATATTTTAAATTGATATACATTATTGTAAATTCAATATTATCAATTTATAAAGTACACAATGATACAAATTAAATTTTAAAATAAATTTATTAATTTATTACATTATTATCAAGTCAAAAAATCAATGTTAATTAATATAAAATAAATTTTAAAATAAAATATATTATATTATTACAATGCTATTAATCTAAAACACAAAAAATTTTACTAAATAAAAGTGACAATGAATATTGCTCTAAGAAAATAATCATTCAAACATTATTATTATTATTATTATGGTTTAAATATGTTTATAATCCCTCAAATTTAAAATAAATTTATTTTTGGTCCCTCAAATTTGAAACTGTTGATTTTAGTCCCTGAAATTTTTAAAAATATTATTTTAGTCTCTTAGGCCACTAATAATATATATGAAAATGACAAATTAAGATAATTAAATAATATCAATTAGATTTAATGTGATGTTTTCACTAATAGTAACATTAATATGTAGATTTTATGCAATAATATTTGATAAATTTTTTAATAAAATTTGAATATAAGGACTAAAATAAGATTTTTTGAAATTATAGAGATTAAAAATAATAATTTTAAATTTCAGGGACCAAAAACAAATTTATCCTAAATTTGAGGGACTAAAAACATATTTAAGTCTATTATTATTATTATTATTATTATTATATATGACCGGGTTGAATCGAGATGATAATGGGTTAAAAACACAAAATCTGTTACCCGACCCGTACAACACTGGATTTAGATCAAGTTAGGTTAAATTTGACCAAAACACAGAAAAAATTTGATCTAAACTCATTAAGTTAATTTGGATTAGTTCAAATTTTCGAGTTACCGTACCGCTTACACCCCTAAATATGGCATTATACTTGCAAAGATATGGCATTATACTTGCAAATGAGAAATTATTCTCGTACAATTTGTTCAACTAACCAGTTTTGGTTGTGTAGAAAAATTATTTTTATGTTATTTTTAATTAAAAAAGTAATGATTATATTTAATTTATATATTTAATGTCATATATTTTAAATTTAATTAGTGAAGTTTGGTATTTAATCTATAATATCTATAAAAAGAATAACATCTTTTTATCAAAATTATTTCTATATTTTTTTATATATAGATTTTATTATAAAATAAAGTGATATTAAAAATAAATAAATATATCTAAATAATTAATACAGTAATGATTAGTAAAACTGTTCCAGGTTTGACTTTAATAATAATAAAAATTTTATAATATAAAAGATAAATTAAGAAAATAAATGAAAAAATTGAATAAAAATAAATGTAGATTTTATGTCAACAAATAAAAGAATTAGCTATCAAAATATTTTGACAAAAATAACTAAATTAAAATAATCAAAATCTATAACATTAATTAAATTAGATTCTTAAAATATATTAAATTATTCCCTTAAAGTGTGTTTTTTAAAAATAATTTAAAAAATACCGTAAAACACTTATATTAATTGTAAATATTTGACTGAAGAATTCATTATTGACAATTTTATAATACAAATAATTTAATTTGTGAATAAAATATAAAATATTAAATTAAAAATATAACTAATTTGTAAATTTTTACAAAAAATACAACATTAATATGACAAAAATGTAAAACCATTATAAAAGATTAATTTCATTAATTATAATAAGTTTAAAATAATTATAAATAAAAATACATATAGATTTTATGCCAATTAATAAAGGAATTAACCATTTTTAAAATATTTTAACAGAAACAGTTAAATTAAATTAATCAAAATTTATAAAATTAATCAAATTAGATTCTTAAAATATACTTTTAAATCAAATTATTCTCTAAAAATATGTTTTTAAAATATATTAAAAAAATTATTTAAAATATTTATATTATTAATTATAAATATTTGTATTATTAATTGTAAATGTTTATATTATTAATTGTAAAAATTAATCAAAAAATAAATGTAATGATATAATAAAAAAATTAATTATATTAATTATAAATAGTTGTAAAATATATGTAATTAAAAAACACAAAAAAAAAACTTTACTTATGTGCACAATTTCATTTATTTTGTTATATATAAATACTTCATTAATAGAAACAATTTATTTTAGTTTTTTAGATTTTTTTTGTAAAAAAGAAAATTTTCATTCATTTTTGTTCACAGTCCATCATAATAGATAATTGTATTTTACTTGCTTTTTATTTATTTATTTTGTTATCTAACATTTTATATATCTTATTCTATATCTCATTTTCATAAATAAAAAAATACTATAATGTGTTTTAAGGTTTAAGATTTTTTCTTCTAACATTAGTATTTTTATCTGAATTGTTTGGAAAAAAAATTCATGTAATTATGATAATTGTTTATTTTTGTCATATGATGGTGATGAAGAAAAAACTCATAAAATTTGAATTTTTCAACCAACAAGAGACACCAAACAAAGAGAGTGTTTTGTTGGTGAAATTGGTGATATTTATTTGATTTTTTTTAATTGATCTATATTTCTTTCTTTCTTTCTTTTATGTTCTCCACATTTGAGATTTTTGTTACTGTATATTAGAAGAGTACTAAATATATGTTCTAACAGTTAGAAGATATGTGTGTGATCTAGCAAGTAATAATTGTGTGACATTTGGTTATATATGAGATTTGATTATTATTGTTTTAGTATTTTTTTTGAAAATAAAAAACAAATGAATTTATTCTTTAATGACTTTGTAAATTCCAAAAAAAAAATATATATTTGACAACATGTATATTCAAAAGATTTCTAAAAAAAAAATTGGCAACCTGTAAATTAAAAAAAAAATTTGATGATTCTTATTCTTATTGAATTATAAATTTTAAAAAATAAAAATAAATCAGGATCAATCCAATTCATTATAAGTAGATAAAACTAAAATTCATTAAGATCATTAACGAAATGATAAAAATAACAATTAAATGTAACAAACTTTTTAAATATGAAAATCGTCTTGAATATAATACATTTAATTTTGGGAACAATTTAAGAAAAAATTACATTTTTTTTTTATCTAAATTAACATCAAATATAATAATTAGTGTAAAAAAATCAAATATAATAAATATTTCTCTTTAATTATAGTGAATATATAAAAAACCCTAAAAATTATTACCTTTTTTAAATTATCTATTTACAAGTCAACTCTAAAGGTAATTTTTACTTTTCAAGAATAAATCGTTGACAAGCGAAGCATCACTTGGCTGACTACGAGTATAAGCCTTATAGTGGAGGCGTGGCCATTGACGACGATGATGATGGGCACGGGGAGTGTTAGGATTAATTCAAATTTGTTTAATCAGTTAAATAAATTCTTGTTTTTATGGGACTGTTACTGTTCTTATCTTTTAATTTGTAACGTTAGTGGTAGGTAGTTTATTTTTTGGTGTTCAATTTTCTTTGTAAGGCTATATATAGCCAAGTTATTTCCAATTCAATGCAAATACATTTTTCCTCGCAAATTACTTTCAATTAAGTTCATTCCTTAGCGTTAATATTTGGCATTAGAGCCTCCTTGTGGGGACTATTAGAAGCAGTAGTCTTTAAAGAAGATATTGATCGAAGCATGGCAATTGAGAGTTCTTTTGTTCAACCAGCACTGTTGAAATTTGATGGTCATTATGATCATTGGGCGATGCTAATGGAGAATTTCCTTCGCTCAAAGGAATATTAGGGTGTGGTAGAAAATGGAATTCCTACCGTAGTAGAAGGTGTGACACTGATACACAGAGGAAAAATCATGAAGATCAAAAGTTGAAAGATTTGAAAGCCAAGAACTATCTATTTCAAGCCTTAGATCGTTTAATTCTAGAAACAATAATCAACAAAGACACATCAAAGAATATTTGGGACTCTATGAAACAAAAATACCAAGGCACAACACATGTTAAACGAGCTTATTTGCAAGCATTACAGAATGAGTTTGAAGTTCTTCACATGACAGAAGGAGAGTCTGTTAATGAGTACTTTGCTCGTACTCTTGTTATTGTTAGCAAAATGAAAGCAAATGGTGAAGATAAAGGAGACACGGCTGTTGTGGAAAAGATTCTGAGGTCAATGACTCCTAAGTTCAATTATGTTGTGTGCTCCATAGAGGAATCCAAGGATACAAGTACATTATCAATTGATGAGTTGCAAAGTAGTCTACTTGTGCATGAACAACACATGAGTTACAATGTTGATGAAGAACATGCGTTGAAGGTGACTCATGGAGACCAATTTGCAAGACGAGGATGAGGATGTAGGAGTTTTAGAGGTAGAGGTCATGGAAGAGGTAGATAAAGCTTCAACAAAGCAATGGTAGAATGTTATTCTTGCCTTGGACATTTTCAGTGGGAATGTCCAATTAAGC